ATAACATCAGCACTAGCTTCTTTACATTTCTTTATCAAATGCCTCCATAGTAAAGAGAAGTCCTGTTAGGAGTGAACTGACATATTAATACACCGAGAAGTGGGCTACAGTGCATTGAAGTTAGCAGCTTGCATATAAGAAAGAGAAGGACTGCAGGCATATTCACTAGGCTCAAGAGGACCAAGCATCTAGGTTTCCCTTACAGTCAGCAGAAAAAATAGAGACTCCTCTAGCGTGTCATTTAGAGTGGGAGCCTGATGTAGGTGGTACGAATTGTACTCTGAAGAATCTGTCTCGGTGCTTACTACAGAAGAGTGAGTTTGGGAAGTAATGGCAAAGTCTTAGCACCAGTACTGAGTCTGATGTTTCTTCAGACTGGTGCAAGCACTAGTACTTTTCTAAAACTAATTTGGGTTTTGGATGTGAGAAAGGATCACTACCAATAGTCAAGGGAAATTGGCTGTCTAGGTTAAAGTTAGTCTCTCCAAACAGTTTGAATTATTATCAATTCCTCACTAATCATCTCTGTGATTCCCCAGGTTGTAGGTAAGTTAGTCATTTCCCATGCCTTTTGTATGCCTTCTGCATCCTGTAATAGGCAGTCATATTCCTACCCCTGAAATAAAAGCTGTCTGCAATTCCGTGTTTGACTTGCCGATAATTCTGCCTGTGGTACTGCAAGTAATGGATCCATAAGTTCAAGGCATAGTGAAGGTGTTTGGTTTTATTTTATTATCCTTTAAGAACTTCTAAGGAAACTATTGGGTTATCCACATGGGTAATCCACATAAACACATTAATTTAGAGGAGCACTGAAGTCTGTGTTTAAAATCATGCATAGGAAACACTGGTTCTTACTCAGGAAGGCTACATAATGTACAAGATTTAGCAAGACTATTATTAGAATCCAGGTCTCCTTATTCCTCTGTTCACTGAATCATACTGTTTCTGAAGTGTTAGGCATTAGAATGCATACGGGTGAATTGTAAGGTACATGGGACTGAGTCCAGCAAATTAAAGCTAAAACCCCTTTTTGTAAACCTTAAGTGAGTTGAAGAAACTGCATGGGAGGCTTCCTGGGAGATAAAATCAAGAAAGAAAATGATTATTCTTCTTGCAAGAAGTGGTAACTACTGTTTTCAGCTGCTGCATTTCAGAGAGGAGCCAGAAGCACAGTGGAACAGGCTGCTGGGGAAAGTACACAGGTTACACACTGGCATCCCCAGCTATTGCACAGTCTTTTGTCTGCTGCACTTCATTGACTTGTTGCAAATCACATGCAAATTGTTGTTGTGCAACATCAGGGTACTCTTTACTACTTTATAGCCAGTTGTAATTAGACTGGTATAGACTGCACTTGATTTTCTTTTTCTCATGTTCTAAGCAAAACATCCTCAAATAGTTTTACAATAGGGAGAGTAGTGAAGGTAGACAGGATTTTTTCCTGTCTTTTGCTATAGAAATCCGAAAGATGAAAGACTAGTCATGTTTATGCTTGGTAATATTTAGGCTCTTGTTCTAAAACTTCTTTGTTGCACACCTGTGAAAAAAGTGAATAAATACCAAGGCCAATGCAAACACTAAGGGTGCAAGCACATAGGTACCCAAGACTACATTTAATCAAGAACTTTAGTCACTACCACATAAAAGAGTAATTCTGAAATCAAACACACCCTACTGCATTGTTTCTGAAATATAAGTCTTACACTGAATTTTCCCTCAAAGACTTGCTACTTCCATTGTCTCCTTCAGGACTTTTTGTCCCCACTTCTATATGTCACTTCAGTAGCCCAAAGATGCCAGCATGCTGTTATTTGTACTACGAGACAGCAGAATTAGTTCAGAAAATGTATGCAGTAATTGAAATTCTGCTGAGAGAGTGGGTTAGTGTACAGCACTCACCCTTCTGCAAGGTCCAGGTTCTAGCTGTCCTCTCTGACTGCCCAAATGCACTCTGAGATGTCTAACTTAGAGATCTTTCATGTTAGCTGCTTTTCTGTAAGCCTTTATCTTCGGAAATGATGTCTGTTTTTCTGTCTGAAATCAGTGTGCACATGTATTGGCCTTAGTATTGCCAAATTCAAAGAATTTAAAATCCTGCCAGGCTCTCAAGATACTTCAGGGTTTTTTTTTCTTTAAAAGCATGTGAGGTGAAACACTACCTAGTTCTGAATTCTTTTTTTTTTTTTTTTTGCCATCTGCTTTTTGAGGATCCCAGGTAGAATTTTGGTCATGTTTTCAAGCTAATCTCTGCAACTCTCCTGAAAGCCAAAAGCATTCTTTTTAGAAAGGAAACCCATTGTATTTGAAGTCCCTAGAGCAAAATAAGCTTGATACTTAGCAGTATTCAATAATCCATGTTTATTCAGGTATTTTATGTGGATTAAAAACTGTATTTTAAGGACTGAAATTTGGAAACATTGACACCTGCCACTTGTGATATGTTGCATTAACATTGCAAATTCCAAAATTATAGAAGACACTAGAACTAGAAAAAAATAAAGACCTTATTTCAGAGGTATATACCCAACTCACTACTTAAAGGTATGATAACTGAAAGCTGGTAATGGCAAAATGCTTTGAATAAGGTTATAGACATTACAAAAGACTGCAACATATTTACAGTAAAATAAATAGTTCAAGAATTCTATCAGATGTAAAATATATTAAGCTTTTCCTTGGAAATATGCCTCATATGTCATAACACAGCATTGAGCTCTTTTCCTTCTTGTACATGTAAATTATCTTTGTCTATATTTTCACCATCTATTTCATTCATCACATTTTCTGAAAGTAGATCTTTTTAATGATATACTAAAGAACTGTCCTGGATTTTTAGAATTTATTTTTTTTTATACCAGTTACCAGTGATGTTTACATTCTCTTTTGCAACTGTAACGATAAACATTGAAACAAGAATCATAAAATAAACCTCTGTGAACTTCTTGAGTTGATTTGTATGTTATCAAAAACTCCAATAAAATCAAACTGTTTCAAGTTTTATGTGATACAAAAGACAATAAAATATTTCTTTTTATTTTGAATTACAGATGGCATCTGCTCAAGATTCCAGATATGGCCAGAAAGATACATCTGACCAGAACTTTGATTACATGTTCAAACTGCTCATTATCGGCAACAGCAGTGTTGGGAAAACCTCCTTTTTGTTCCGATATGCTGATGATTCCTTTACATCTGCATTTGTAAGCACAGTTGGAATCGATTTCAAAGTAAAAACGGTTTTCAAAAATGAAAAAAGAATTAAGCTACAGATTTGGGTAAGCCAAAAATAATAATTCTGTGAACTAAGCAAGCTTTAGCAGTTTGATAGATAGCATTTAAGCTACTGTAGGTTTGCATTGAATGTCATTACCTTTTTTTATATATATATATATATATGGCATAGTAATGAAAAAGCAGTTAATTATTTTCTGCATCATGTCCTTTTCTGTCTTGAATAATAGAGTGTAGACAGTATTTTTAAGGTATTGAAGAGCAGCAGAGTATATATACTGAATTAAATTCCATTAGGAAATAACACAGATTGACACATATTGATATCTGTGCAGTGAGGTGTAAACAATGGTGCAATATATAGGCTATTGAAAGTGATACACGTTATTAAAAGTACCTTGAAATTCCAGTTAGAATCTGGTTTCTTCCCACAAAAATTATAAATTCATGTAGGATCTATGATAGTGGATGCATAAAAGAAGGCATAATTTTTTTCTCTATTAGTTATTTTTGTCATCCTGATCACCTGAAACATCTTTGTTCTTCTGCTGAGGAAGCAAACATATGGAAAGACAGAGTGTAAGAACTATGTTGCCCAAGTGTACAAACCCCCTCATCCCTTGCCAACAACTTAGAGATGGTAGAAAGGTGCCAAATGTAGGAAAGTGTGATGCCAGGGGATAGCTGTTCTTTTCTGCAAACTTCCCTCAGAAAGAAAGGATAGTTGAAACTTATTTATGCAAAAGCCACTGATGCTCACATCTCCTAATTCTTAGGTGATATTCACTTAAAAGAGAGGGGGCATAGCAGAACATTTAACAATGTGGGATCTGGAGTTAAAACGTCACGTCTTTGCTATCTTCCTTGGGTGCTTGAAGATTTTGAGCAATGTTTCCTTTGTGAGGTATTTGTAACAGCCTTATTAAACAAAAATTGGGGGGTTTTGTGCATGGATACAAGTAATTTAAAAGTTTCATTAATGGTGGGTAACCATTGAATCTTGGGAAACCTTGGATCAAATACAACCAGTTCATCTAACATGTTTTGAACAGCAGATAAATTGAGTATCTTTAACATGGCACAAAAGTGAATTTCCCATAGTTTCCTAGGCTGTATCTCATTCACGTCTTTTTAAGTAGGCTTCAGCCCTTGATATATCAAATCATTTGTTGTTCCATGCCCTCTAGGAACTGGAACACAGAGTCGGCCTCTCACCTTCTCTACCTTTTTAAGCTGAGATTCTTGCTAATTATCATGAGTATAACAGTGCTACATACTAGGTAACTGTATGTCAAGTGCATGCTTTCACTGCCATAACTTGCTAGTTCATTGTAGTACTTTAATGTTGAAGATCACATGGTAATTCACATATTGACATTATCTTATTATTTTTTGATAATGGACCAATAAAATTGTGTTCACATTATAGTCTTTTAACTACCAAGTGTCCTCTACAATAGATTTTATTGTTCATGTCTCTCCTGGCAAAAGCAGCAACATTAGTTTAAGATGTTATATTAATGTGATTAGTTTGACACCAGTATATTTCTCATAATGCCTCTCCATGGCAGACCACGAATACGTTCTTGGCTCAAAGCAGTCCATTAACCTAAATGCGTTCAGGGCTATCCATGGCATAGAAAGAATGTAGCAACTGTATTCTTGCCAGCTGGAATAAACTTCCACTTCTAGCAAAACAGACATTTTATTGTTCTTTGCATGGTAGCAACATGCAGAGTCCATACAGACTCTGACAGTCCTGCCTAAAAAAACTTGCAATTGAAACATGAAAAACAAGGGCTCCATGTCCTTTAGGGAAGAAGGAACAGAAGCTAAAAATTCCTGAATTAACCTACCATAGTGTTAGAGACAGGACTTCAGATTTCACTTTCAGACTAAAGCTTTTTACCTCAGCCAGTACCGCTTCTTGGTTTGGGTTTTCTTCCCATTTTAATGCCAGTTCTTAAAAAAAACTTATCATTGCCAAATTAACTCAAATTGCAACAGCTCACTATAGCTGTTTGCACTTTTTAGATTAAGTATTCTGCATTGGAGCATTGTGTTGCAGGCATGCTTGCTAGTAAATTGGTTGACTGTTGCACCTCTAGAACCTTAAATAAAATCAATTAAGTATCTCAGAAAACTATTGTAATGCACAAAATCTGAAATAGAGCACTCTTACCCCATCTCATAAGCTATATCAACAGACGTATTGTTCTTAATATGCAGTATCTGTACATGTAACATCTGCCTATATAATATTATGCTTTATTACTTTTCCTTGATTATGCAAATATCGTTCTAAAGTGAATAGTACTTCTGCAGTATCCATTTCAAACTGCATTTATGAAAGGCCATTTATATTAGATAAAATATAAAATTGTATGAATCATAATGAGTATGGTTCGATGTTAATTCTGAATAGAAACATGCATAAGGTTATAATGCTTCCTCCAAAATCACTGGCAAAGTATTTGGTGAAATCATCTGATAAATAATATTCAGCATATATGGAATAAAACATTCTGCAAAATCTCACAGGTTTAAATAGTCAGAAGAAACTGGAAATGCAACTTTAAAATATGTTCTGAATGACAAGATAGGAACTGCATTACTTTGCCATGTAGCGCAGTGAAGAAATACATGGAATGCCACATTTCTGCTGTCCTTGCCAGGCAGCAAGATGCAGAAATGTGTTAAAGGTATTGCTGTTAAGTCACTACAGTTCCATAGCTAGAGGCACAGTTAATCCAACATGTATCCTGTTACAATTTTGTACATCTTCTTCTTGAGTAGACATTTAAACTTCATGTTTAGTAGACCATGCAGCGTGATACTTTGTGCTCAACTTGAAGTGTGTTGGAGCTTCAAAGAATGGTTTCATCAGAATAAGATTCTCATATGCTTTACCAGTGAAGGATGCAAGTTTGTTTGAAAGTCAGCATGGGCACTCAAGGAAGCAGAGTCATTATTTCTTAATAAAATTCACTGGGTGATTGTTGCAGATGAACTAGCAAGGGTTAACATGTTGAAGTAGGTGCTGTCTTACATACTGGGTTCCCCAGCAGGTCTTTTGTGTGTTTGAAGCTTTTTCTTGCTTTGAGGTGATCATATATTATTCTTGGATTCAAAGGACCTGAATTTATTTGTCTTCTTTCATTGTTCAAGTCAGGGAGGATGGAGGTCTCTCTAGTACTTACCTTTATTACTTTTTCATATGGTCAGAAAGAGCCTGCTGGGTGCACTGTAATGTTTGCCTTTTTTCTTTCGAGTCAATCACCTTATTTCCACAGTATTTCTTGCTGGAATTGAGAGAGGTTCAGAGTTCAAATGCTATATTCATTAGTGATAGGGCATTACCTTGTCATAGGACCACCAGCTGGCCCTGAAATTTTGCTTCACAGCAAGTTATAAATGCGACAACCACAATATGGACCTTATGAAAACAGCATATTCACAGGTGTTTTTTTACCATTTAAAGGAGAAAAATACATTAAAAAAAAGATGCTTTACTTAAAAAGGTAATGATTTCTCAGCAGAAACGATAAGAAATTTTGGAAAAGAATTGTTTCTGTATGCAGCACATAGGTATGTAGGATAAAAGTCCATCAGAGGGCTTTAGGATGATTTACAGTGTCAAATAATAAACAGCAATACATTTTTCCTCCATTTGGTTTGAGCTAGTAATATTAAAGGGATGAGACTGGAAGGCTTTAAGATTCTTTTGGTTTCAAACTAGTAGATTTTAAATTATGTTGAATTAAAAAAAGGCTTGTCAATACTAATTCTGACAAAAATACACGCTAAAAAAATATTAAAAGCTTAGAGGTGCAAATCAGAAAATAAAATTAAGTTTAACCTTATAAATCATCACTGTTTTCACTGTATAAATCACTACATTCGGTATACCCTGTAGCTGCAATGCCATAAAGGTTTGCATTACTTTTGTAAACTTGGTCAGTGGTTTAATAGAAGGAACACAGTACTTAAAGTGAGGCTGAACCAATGGTGAATACAGAGGGATAATCACCTCTTTTAACTGGTGCGTGATGCTGTATTTGATGCACTCCGGGATGCGGTTTGCCTTCTCAGCTGCCAGGGCACACTGCTGACTCATACTGAGCCTGCTGTCGACCAGCATACCCAGATACCTTTCTGCAGGGCTGCTCTCCAGCCACTCCTCTCCCAATTTATACTTGTGGCCGGTGTTACTGCATCCTAGGTGCAGAATCTGGCATTTTGACTTGTTAAATTTTATCCCATTACTCATTGTCCAAGGCTCCAATCTATCTATATCGCTCTGCAAGGCCTCCTGTCTCTCAAGAGAGTCAACAGTACCTCCCAGTTTGGTATTGTCAGCAGACTTGCTAATGGTGAATTCCAGTCCTGCATCGTGATTTTTGATAAATATATTGAACAGAACTGGCTCTAGAATTGAGCCCCAAGGAACACTGCTGGTGACCGGTCGCCAGCCATGTGTAGCCCCATTCACTACAACCCTTCGAGCTCTGCCTTTCAGCCAGTTCTTCACCCAGTGCACCGTGAACCCACTTATCCCACAGTTGGACGACTTATCCAGAAGGATGCTGTGAGGGACAGTATCAAAAGCCTTACTAAAATCCAGAAAAACTACATCCACTGCCTTCCCTTCATCCACTAGACAGGTGACCTTATCATAGAAGGATATCAAATTGGTTAAACAGGACTTTGCCTTTGTGAACCCATGTTGAGTGTGCTTGATGATTGCATTGTTCTTTAAATGTCTTTCAATAGCATCCAGTGTCAGCTTCTCCACATTTTTTCCAGCAACTGAAGTTAGACTAACAGTTCTGTAGTTTACTTCCCTCATGCCCTTTCTGTAGACGGGAACAACACTGGCTAGCTTCCAGTCAGCAGGGACCTCCCCAGACTCCCAAGACCTTTGGTAGATGATAGAGTGGGGTCCATAATATCTGCTAGCTCCTCAGAACTCTGTGATGAATCCCATCAGGTCCCCTGGACTTGTGAACATTCAGCTGATAGAGCTGGTCCCTTACAATTTCAG